GCATTTGGTAGCTGTGTGATCTGTATTTTTACTTGCTGAGCCTGTTTTATCTCTTCAGCCCTCAAAACACTCTGTAAACCTCTAGGATTTGCAGTTAGAATGTGAAAAAAAAATATGGGGCACTTATTAAAACAGCAAATTTAGAGGGCCTGGTACCAATGCAGAAAAACCTGCCTCTGCAAAACCAGCACCTTTGAGATTCTGAAGTTGGTGCAGAAATAGTGCAGTAACCCCAATGTGAAATCTCTTCAAACAGATTCTGGCCACTTCGTTTTCCAAATTCAGCTTCATAACAAATATCTTTTCACAGCACCTACTATGTCTCTGCTTGATCACTCTGGTAGAAAAAAAGTTTGGGGGGAGGGACACAATGGTGACAAAGGAGACAGGAACGTTGTTGTTGGCTTCCCAACACCCCTTACACACTACTTGTTTCCTTGAAACTTAGTCCCTGCCCCAACACACACAACTCCCACAAAAAATAAATACATTGTATACAGAAAGGCCATGAATTTGAACCACTCCGAAAGATAGTAACCAAATTTAATGCCTCTGGTTTTCCTTACATTTTCAGACAGTCATCTTTCATGGATAAGGCATTAAATCATGCACCCCCCCAAAAAAACAAAATCACTGATTTCCAGTGTTATAAGAAATCATATATCCCAGAAAATGATTTGTAACGTTTGCCATTTTGCTGCAAATCTAAAGATATCATTTATAATTCCAAATAAAAAGCCCGATTTTAAGCTGTTGTCTACCTGCAACAGCTACAATTTAAAAATTCCAAGTTCAGGCCCTAGGATGGTGGCACATGCCTATAATTCCAGTGCTCTGGGAGGCTGCAGCAGGAGGACCAAAAATTCAAGCCCAACCTGGGAGGCTTTTCGACTTTGTGTCAAAATACAAAAAAATTTTAAACAAAATAAAGGGCTGGGGATATAGCTCCATGCACGTGCCCTGAATTCAATCTCCAGTACAGGAAAAAAATAAGCTAAATTTTGTGAGGCACTAAGTTTGTTGCTCTCAAAGTCCTGGGTTTGGGGGTTTTATTTGTTTGTTTGTTTAAAATAGAATCAGGGGCTCTGGGGGCCAGGGATTTAGCTCAGTGGTTCCACAGGCTGCTTTTCAAGCAGCAAGGTCCCAAATTCAATCCCTGGTACCAAAAACAAAACAAAAAAAGAATCAGGTGCTCTGCCACTGAGCTATAGCCCAAGCTTTTTTATTTGTTTTTCTTTTTTTTTTTTTTTTTTGAC